TCATTCAAAAGTAAGCAATTGAAGTCAGGTCGTCCGGAATTATAAGGGCAAATTTTATCCGCGACTTCATGTCAACGTTTTTTTCTGCTGTCTCGTAACGTAATGCTTAAGTAGGCTCCAAGTGTGTATCTTCCAATTGCTCATTTATAAAAAGTACTTTAGTGGGCGTATCACCTGAATTTTTCCAATTGGAAATTTACTCCAAAAGATTTATCGGAGTACTCGTCCATTTCAGTTCCTAAAAGTTTTATTAACACTCCGCAAATGTCAGTTTGTGCTTGGAAGATTTTTCCCCATATTTAATTTTATGAGAAGTTTGCCAAAAATATTTTCGATTAACCACCCCAAAATGAAACATGTACAAAAACATAGGCACTTGGCCGTCTAAGGAGTTGAAGTTATAACAGGGGGTTACATTTCATGGTGTGGAGATCGCTTTAGTAAGTTTTTATTTTTTCCCAAAACGTACCTAATCATTATTGTGTTAAATAGAAAAACACCCTTGAAACCTTGAAACTTAAAATTTATATATTTTAACTCAGTTAGAAGACTTCTAGTACTTAATATTGATTTTAAAAGAAGACCTTATTACCTTTTAACCGAGTTCATACACGACTATTGGTTACAGTGAAAAATTCCTTTTAAACGCAGTTACAAAATGTTTGAATACGGTCTTTCAAGAATGTTTATATTTATAGTTTAAACCTTTTAATTTTTTAAAGAACACGGTCAGGGGCGGACTGGCACGGTGGGGGCGGGTGGCGATTGCCACCTGTGCTGTATTTAGTTTCTTGCACTATTAATAAATTATTAACACGTTTCTCTAATTGGGGTTGATGTTAGGTTGTTAAAAAATTCTGTTTTAATTGAAGTGTTTTACAATGAATTTATTTTTTGTCGTAGCATGAAAGTGCTGAAATACAATGATAGGCGACGCACCTCGTGTGGATTGTATATTTTGTTACCTACTTTTAATTATCAGCTGCAATTTAAAAAAAACTGTATGGTAGGTAATTGATTTTCGAGAAAGGAGTACTTTAAAATGTTTTTGTGGTGCACTCAGAGCTACCTCCCCCCGGCACCTTCATTACTACACTAATACTTTAATGGCTTAATGGCCCGTAAGCCAGTCCGCCCCTGTGTATAACCTTCCTTTTTTACCAAAATTCGACTACACCAAAATTTCTCGGGAAAACACTTTTTCTTATTAATTTTGGTGCGTAGAATCCAAAACAATTCGTACTTTTTCGATGAGGCTTCTCAATCAAAAGTTATAGACTAGAAACCAATTTCGAAAGGAAATTCAAAGGGCTGTAACTTTTGAACTAGTAGCCCAATCTTGGAACTGTTTGAAATTATGGATTCTACAGGCCACATTCTATAAGAAAATTTTTTTTCCGGGGCGATCTGAGGCAATGTTTTTTTCGGGGCTCAAAAAAAGGCAGTGTATAACCTTCCTTTTTTACCAAACATCGACTACACCAAAATTTCTCGGGAAAACACTTTTTCGTATTAATTTGGGTGCGTAGAATCCAAATCAGTTCGTACTTTTTCGATCAGACCTCTCAATCGAAAGTTATCGACTAGAAACCAATTTCGAAAAAAAATTCAAAGGGCTGTAACTTTTGAACTAGTAGCCCGATCTGGGAACTGTTTGAAATTATGGATTCTACAGGCCACATTCTATAAGAACCGGGACGATCTGAGACAATGTTTTTTTCGGGGCTCAAAAAAAAGGCAGTGTATAACCAGGGGCGCACTGGCCCGGGGGGGCGGGTGGCGATTGCCACCTGGCCTGTAGATCATAATGGCCCGTTGGAAATTTATAAGTATGTGCTGTATTTAGTTTTTTGCACTATTAATAAATTATTAACACGTAAAACACGTAAACCGAATAGGCGCCACTTAGTCTTTAGTAAACTTCAAAGTGGGGAGAGAATTGTTGCCAAATAATTAACGTCACAATCGAGGATGATTTAATGAATGATCTCAAAAATATTACAAATAGGACACTGTAATATATAGGTAGATCTGCTATGTCAATAATTAAAAATTAATTAATTTTTACTATTCGGCCTTTTCCGTAACAGAAAGCAACACAACAAACAAGTAAAAGGGGTAGTGAATAGCACGGCACATAAAAGATTTCGTAAGCAATACTACGGTCCGACACTGAAGGCAATCTGATACTTAAGGTATAATTAATACTCAGAAAGAATAAATAATTCGAATGACTTTACACTAGCAAAAGCAAAATTTTGACTGGACCACCAAATAATAAAGGTTTCGTTAATTCATGCAGTTTTAGGAACTATCTTGAAATCTCCAGGTATAAACAACTTCGGAGTAAATGGACCACCAGGTAAAAGTTGGTATAATTTTCAAGCCGGTAATGTTGAAACTCATCTATCACATGCGTTCGCCACTGTTAATCTTCCCAAAATGGCAGGTCCAATTAAGACTCAAAATCAGTCAAGAAATTGGGTACCCAAGAAAAGTTTGCATGTAAGCAATGCGTTAACTGAGCGAAAAGATACAACTGTGCGCAATACTGAATTAAAGAAGGGATGGAATTTAGTGTAGAAAGGTACAAACAAGACAAAGACAAAGAACTAGGTAAAAGGACTCTCCTATAGAAATTAACTTACATCTTAAACTAGTGGATTACAAGGTAAATACCTAGATGGCGTAAGAATATCAAATTTACATTAAAGAATTTAAATATGAGCACAAATCGAAGTTTTTCTTATTAAAAATGTATTACTTTTATGACGAGTATTGAAAATAAGTCCCTATATCGTGACCACGTGTTTTTCTTTACCTAATATGGTAATTTTTACACAACAATAGACACCTTATAGCTACTGAATTCATTTATTGGAATAATCTCACTTAAATTATATCATTTAAAAGAATGAAAACAACCAAGATCCCTTCCAGATGTATTCAATCATAGTTATTAAATTTGTTCCATACAGTTAGTTTACGCAGATCGATTCCTTTAAGAATGTTTGGATACCTACTTTCAATAACATTTAATGCAATTTCTTAAAGAGAACGATCGTTATCTTTTAGACATCAAAAAAGATTACGTTACCTTATTATAACGGTTTCTGCATTCGGTGGTTTCCCTTGTGGTACGGCCCTTCTCTAAAAGAAGATGGCTCTAAATTTAGAAACGAAAATTGAATCTCCTGAAGAATTATTGAAGTTTTCTTGATGTTTTTTTTCGTATGCAAATGATCGGAAAGTGAACGTTTTTATTTATAGTGTCTACATTCAAACGAGCTTTCCGCTTTCGCAATATGAGTTTTTAAGGTCAAGGTTACACGTCAATACTGGTTAATTTTCGAAACCCCACCATAAAGTCTGACTTATTCGCCGGTTAAAATTTAAATAAACTTCTAATTACCTTAAATAGTTAATAATCTTTAATATTTAACACAAAAATAGCACCAATGGAAGATGCTTCTGAAACTCACATTCTTCAACTGATTTTAACTCACTAGCATTCTTCTATCGCAAACTTTTATAATCACAAAGACTGACTGTCTTTCAACAACACACTTGATTACGGCAGACACCAAAAAGCCTCGTTTCCAGTCTGTTACGTCTTTGTAAAACATTCTTCCAATTCGTCAGTTCCGCTCCTCCTTACCTACCAAATCAATGCGCCGTCGAATGATAATCTCTACATCCATTAAGACCATTCTCGTCGATTAAGGATGATTCTCACTAGGCGACGCGTTAATTTATTAATTCATTAATTTTCACGATTCTTACAGAACCAACATTTAGGGCACTATTTGACCTAACTTTTAGCCGACGTAAACAATTTTAAAACCAACCTCAAACCAGTCTTTTTCTGTGAAAAACTTCAATGCATATTCATAAAGTGGTAAAATTAAAATATGAGTGAGCGAGAGGAGGAATTAATTAATCCTGTTAGCTAAGTGAATATAATGTACTGGTGGCTTGCGTAATTACCAAACTTAAACTCATTTCCAATTACAAATAATTGACCGCCGCATGCACAGTATCGCGCATTATTAATAGACATACACAAATCTGTAACTCGGTCCGTCCCTCACCATCGCCTCCATCTGTTGCATTTATTCATACCAGACCACTTGCCAATATATTTCAAATTAAATTAATTAATGCTAATTGAAATAAATTTACCTTGTAGTGAAGTATTTCGATAGTAGGTTCAATATAATTAACAAAATGCTTCTAAACTGCATATTTCTACATCTTTCCCCTATCAACGGGTATTTACGTGAAATTCTTTTTACTGTAAAGATATGCTTAGTTATAAATCTTGGATCAATTCAGTACCTACGAAGTCCGACGAAGTAAGTGGAAGAATCAGATCAGATGAAATTATTTAATCGGGTTGTGTTTAATTTAGTTTTTTTTAATTTAAATTGCATGATTCTAGTTTATAAGCATTGTAGAATTTTTGACGTTTCAAGCGTGCAATTTATGATGAGTTGTCACAAAAGAACTTCCTTGATGAATTTGCAAATCGTACTTCCCAATCTACACGCACAAAAACGGGAAATATTTTATTGTCAGTGTTGTTACGCACAAAAGGAAGAAAAACGTTTCCACGAATGTATTTTTAATGCTTTAACGCTTGAGAAAAATCTGAAAAGTTACGGATACAGCGTGTCTGTTGTGCTTTGAAAGTTTTCCAATTTTTTTCATATTCAAGTTTCTACGATAAAGAGTAGCTTTTATAAGCTATGCAACAGTCATGTGTAAATCGCTGCACGCTTATAAATTCCCCCCTGAACAGAAAAAGCAACAATAAGACGACCAAAAATGTTTCAGCGATACACTTATCAGATTAACAAGTTGTGTATCAATCGATTTCCTCATGTTTCCTTCTCGCGTGTCGCGAAATTTGATGCATTTTCTCACGCAATTGTGGCGCATAACTATAATCAATTTGGCTTGGAGAAAAGTCTAATTTTCGCCATTTCTGTCCGTTGCAGATCCGTCTAATTCGTCCTCGGTGGAAAGCAGCAAAAGACAAATGCACACGAGCAACGCCGCCGGCGGTGACAAACGCGAACTAAACGGCGACATCATCTTACTGAGGGGATCGAAACTGCCGGAAAATGGGCACATACTGCTAAGGGCCGAGAATCTGAATTGCCTCAAGAACAACCTGGTCTTGGACGATACCGGCGGAAAGCTTCTCCTTCAGCAAAGTGACATTACTGACGGTCTGCTTTTGCATTCCGTAAAACGGTTAGGGAACGGAGCGCCCATTTTCCTTTTAAGCGGTAACGATAACGGCAACGGACATATCTTGATCCAAACTTCCCCGAGCGACGACGCTGAAAGTGTCAGTGAAATAGTGGAAGATCAGATACAAGAACAAATTAGTCTACGCGCTTTAGATGGATGTCCAGATGAAGAAACAACGAAGTCGATTACGCTTCCGCTCGGTTCCGGTAAGTGTTTTTACTTATTATGTCCTCTTTATCTTGTTAGTTATGCGGAAAATCTAATTAACCCTCGCAATTTCTGCACGCTAATCCCCTTCCTTTGCGCATTGTTCACTTCGTTTCGATGCGTGTCGAGGGGATATTAATTTTTACTGAATTTGTACGGTCGTGTCTTGCATAAGTGACGCTGTCTCATCACTAATTAAATACTTAAAAACGGGGACAATTACAAGGAAAATGTCGTAGACACGACTAGACCAAATGTAAAACGTATCGACTTAAATATTTAACGACTTACATAAAATTAGACAACCCTTACGGTTTACGTCAGTTAGAATTCCCAAGGTCTCTCAATAATTTTCTTTGAATTGATGGATGGATTGAAGCTACATCTTTTTGCTCATACAAACCTTGAGGTTAGCTCAGGGTTAAGATCTCGCGATTTGAAGCTATTACAACAGTATTTGCTTTTCATCTTTAATTTCAAAGTTTTCGATACAGTGGATTATCTTCGGATACCTTGACTATTTGTTCGGTTCAAGAAATAAGGACAAGGAAATAAATCACTTATATCTCATTTATTAACAAAATTGTTCTGATTCTCGTAATAGTCCCGCTGAAAGAAAAATGCAAGTTAGTAAATGAGGATGAGGCACATGAAATTATCACCAAAATAAAATACTTGTATTTTCCCACTTGTTTGTGCTCCTCCTCCTCCCATAAAGCATGAATTTGTATTTCAAAAGAACACTTTTTCCGGAGACCTTTACCAGAACTCAATAACCGGCCAGAAATTCATTCCCGACATTAACTCATACCATAATCATATTCCTGCCTATACTTCCGACACCAGAATGACTTTTTCGTTTATTCTACAGTCACCAGATACCTTTTTCCGTTCAGTTCATTATTAATTTCTCACCAGACCTGGTAATTTTTATTTAGTTTTCCCTATTTTACCTGTAGTATTTGTAGCGTCACTTCTGGTAGGATATATAAACCTGCGGACTTTTTTTACATGGTTTGTTCATTCGGTCGACAGACCTGACTCAAACACAATTGTCACTTGATAAGGGGTTGTTTGAATCGCTTGGAAGATTCCTGTTAAGGGATGTATGCCAGGTTTTCTACGGAATGAAATATGGAACAAAAAAGATAAGGTAATGACGTGTTAGACTCTGTAAATTTATAAGAAAAATGTCAAAATCAAGGGTTTTTCTAAACAAAACCTCCATGGGTAACTAGATCTTGCTGAATCAAGATTATTTTTTTAAAATTGATGTTTTTTGCCCTCTGTCTCATTCCGTAATAATCCAACATGGCGTCCATGAGAACTAAGAAAGTCTCTGGGTCTAGTTTGTAATAGAAATTCTTATACCAGATTCAGATTCTCCGAAAACTCAGTTACTTTCAAAGATTTTTTGAAAAATTTAAACTGCGTTTTTTTAGTGACAGAAAAGAGCAACTTTGTCCTTATTTTACCTATACTGTACCGTTATGGAGATCCTAATGGAGTTGAACTACCCTGTCATTTATATTCGCCGGATTCTTCTTCTTTGAGCTTACGTATTTGTTAGATTTATCCCCTTGTTTTATTTTCAGAGTCCAGTGCCATTTTTCAGTTTAGATTCTTGTGATTCTTCAATTTGTTTCATATTCCTCAACTTCTTCGGACTCTACAGGGACATTTTATATATTACCGATTCGTAAAGTTCTTCAGATTTTTCATTTTCTTCAAATCCTTCGGATTTCTCAGATGCATTCGGCTATTCAGATTCTTAAAATTGTTTTGACTGATAAAAAGGCTCACGAAGCTTTGGGATCTTGTTTGAGAGGATATGTAAATAGGACACATAAATGTTTCTCAATCATACAAACACCCTTAAAGGCCAAATCTTTTAATTATTAATTAATTATTATCTATTAAAGGCTCTTTCAAAGACTAGTCATTACCTTTAAACGAACTCCCGTTATTGTTTTAAGATATTTAATGGCCGTTAAGGCTATACAAATCCCTCGACAAATCCCAAACTTTAAAAAAAGGTTCCTAATATCCCGGCTCTTAACCAGTTCTTAAGTCCCGTAACAAAGCTTTGGGGCTTCTAAGAGCTCCTTGAGGCTTTTGAGAGGCTATTTAAAGCTGTTTGAAGCTATGCCTAGACTAGACTCACAAATCTGTATCAAGACGCGTTTTTAAAACACGTTTAAAGGGTATTAAGGGTTTTTGAAGGATTTTCAAGGACTATTTAAGGCATAAAAAGTAAAATAAATAATAAATGTTTTTCAAGGGTATCAAAATCATACAAACACCCTTAAAGGCCAATACTTTTAAAAACTTTTAATCATGAATTATCTATTAAAGGCTCTAAAAGTTCCTTGGAACCTTTTATAACTTTCGAAGACTCTTCAAGACTTTTAAAGATTACCTTTAAACGAACTCGCTTTATGGGTTAAGACATTTAATGCTCCTAAATCTTTTTAAGGGCCATTACGGCTATAAAAATCTCAAATATTAACAAAGGTTACTAATAGCCCGACTCTTAAACAGTTCTTAGAACCCCCTAACAAAGCCTTTTCAAGACGCCTGGGATTTCTAAGAGCCATTTTAAGACTATTTAAAGCTCTTTGAAGCTATGCCTAGACTAAACCCACAAATATTTTTCAAGATGCGCTTTTAAAACCCGTTTAAAGGGTATTAAGGGTTTTTAAAGATTTTTGAAGGATTTTCAAGGACTATTTGAGGCATAAAAAGTAAAATAACCCCTCCAACACATACATGTTTCTCAAGAGTATCAAAATCATACAACCACCCTTAAAGGCCAATACTCTTAAAAGCGTTTAATTATGAATTATCTATTAAAGGCTCTAAAAGCTCCTTGGAACCTTTTAAAAACGTTCGAAGACTCTTCAAGACTTTCAAAGATTACCTTTAAACGAACTCCCTTTATGGTTTAAGACATTTAATGCTCCTAAATATTTTTAAGGGCCGTTAAGGCTATAAAAATCTCAAACATTAACAAAGGTTCCTAATATCCCGGCCCTTAAACAGTTCTTAAGTCCCGTAACAAAGCTTTAGAGCTTCTAGGGCTATTTAAAGCTGTTTGAAGCTGTGCCTAGACTAGACTCATAAAGCTGTTCCAAGACGCGTTTTTAAAACATGCTTAAAGGGTTTTCAGGGTTTTTAAACATTTTTGAAGGATTTTCAAGGACTATTTAAGGCATAAATAACCCTCCAACACATAAATGTTTCTCTCAAGGGTATCAAAAACACCCTTAAAAGCTTTTAATTATTAATTATCTATTAAAGGCTCGAAAGCTCCTTGGAAACTTTTAAAAACGTGCGAAGACTCTTCAAGACTTTCAAATATTACCTTTAAACGAACTCCCATTATGGTTTTAAGACATTTAATGCTCCTAAATATTTTTGAGGGCCATTAAGGCTATAAAAATCCCAAATATTAACAAAGGTTACTAATAGCCCGACTCTTAAACAGTTCTTAGGACTCCTTAACAAAGCTTTTTCAAGACGCCTGGGGTCTTCTAAGAGCCCTTTAAGGCTATTTAAAGCTCTTTGAAGCTGTGCCTAGACTAGACCCTCAAAGCTTTTTCAAGATGCGCTTTTAAAACACGTTTAAAGGGTATTAAAGGTTTTTAAAGATTTTTGAAGGATTTTCAAGGAATATTTAAGGCATAAAAAGTAAAATAACCCTGCAACACATAAATGTTTCTCAAGAGTATCAAAATCGTACAACCACTCTTAAAGGCCAATACTCTTAAAAGCTTTTAATTATTAATTATCTATAAAAGGCTCAAAAGCTCCTTGGAACCTTTTAAAAACGTTCGAACACCCTTCAAGACTTTTAAAGATTACCTTTAAACGAACTCCCTTTATGGTTTAAGACATTTAATGCTCCTAGATATTTTTAAAGGCCATTAAGGCTATAAAAATCCCAAATATTAACAAAGGTTACTAATAGCCAGACTCTTAAACAGTTCTTAGGACTCCTTAACAAAGCTTTTTCAAGACGCCTGGGGTCTTCTAAGAGCCCTTTTAAGGCTATTTAAAGCTCTTTCAAGCTATGCCTAGACTAAACCCACAAATATTTTTCAAGATGCGCTTTTAAAACACGTTTAAAGGGTATTAAGGGTTGTTAAAGTTTTTTTAAGGATTTTTAAGGATTATTTAAGGCATAAACGAACTCCCTTTATATTTTAAGAGATTTAATGCTCCTAAATATTTTTGAGGGCCATTAAGGCTATAAAAGCTCAAATATTAACAAGGGTTACTAATAGCCCGACTCTTAAACAGTTCTTAGGACCCCCTAACAAAGTTTTTTGAAAACGCCTGAGGTTTCTAAGAGCCCTTTTAAGGATATTTAAAGCTCTTTGAAGCTGTGCCTAGACTAGACCCGCAAAGCCTTTTCAAGATGCGCTTTTAAAACACGTTTAAAGAGTATTAAGAGTTTTTAAAGGATCTTCTAAGACATAAAAGGTAAAATACCCACCAAAAACATAAGGGCTGTTAAATGACTTCAAAAAATTACTCTCCTCTTTAAAGCAAAGAAGCAATAAAATCCACTTGTAGACTCGTGAACACTTTCGAAGGTTCTTGAACACTGCTATTACTTTATAAGGCTGTAGAGTGTAGATAGCTATAAAGACTCATACTTTTGACAAGTATTCAACGGAATTAGTGATTTCCAAGTATTTTATCCGAGTGTGGGATTTATGAAACCCCATAAAGCTCGTAATATACTGTTATATACCATCAACCATGGCTCTTAAAGTTCGGCTTTCAAGCACGCTTAGAGACTAAGGTTTTTAAAGACTAAAAACAAACCCGAAGGCTGTCTTGTGGCTGTTCAGTGCCGTGATAAGACCTATGCTCTGCTAAGGAGCAATTGTCTGGTGGTCTAGAATCAGACTCTCCACAACCATACCACTTCTTAACCATGTGCAACGACTTGCGTGCTTTTCTTGCACGGGCGCGATGCGTACAGCTTCCACAGCCGTCATGGACCCCTTTCTGGAATCTGAAGTTTCTTTCTGGGGATCCTTGGAGGAGCTTTGAGTCTGTTGGGCTATTCGAAGCTCTTGGGGACGGTCACTAAAGGCTCATATAAGCTTTGAAAGTCTTTTTAAGAGCCGTTACTTAAAGAATATTAAGGACTTCTAAATGCTCTTAAGAACTTTCAAGTACTACGAGGCTCTGAGGGACATTTGGGGATTCCTCGAAGCTTTAGAAGGCTCGAGACCCAGATCCCATTACTGTATCGGATATATTCTGATATTTCCATTTCTGAATTGAAAGTAGTCTAAAAAGTTTTTCCTAGATTTTGAAATTCCAAATCACACATTTTAGTTTGCGTTATTGCAGGTACTTTACTGTATGTCTATCAGTGCCGCAACAACCTTTTTGCATTCGATAGTTTAAAGATCGGGCATCTCAGCGAAGACTTAATCTTAACTTCCTGAATTGCGAAAAACAATTCGTGGTCGAGAAACGTCCAGAGGTCTCAAAACTGAAACATTTTTATGGCCACGTTGTGTTCTGGCAAGAAAACGGTCGATCTAATACGAGAACGCTGTAATTCGGTAAATGAACAAATTTACTCCGGCGACTGCTTTAAATTTACATTAATTAAAGCAGTTTGGGGTTAATTAAGATCTACGACAAGGTCAGTTTTTGTTATTCGCGTTAAGGTCGGAAAGTTAACGAAAGCGTGAAATATTTTATAAATCTCGCGGTTTATATCCTTTTTATAAATTCTAAACAGCTCACGTTTTAGAAAACTTCGCCGTAATACTCATTATTAATCCAAAAACAAAATGTTCAACGTGCCCTCAACTCCGTACATTAATCTTTAATGTTCAATTAATTAAGAAAATTGCGCGAGCATAAAATTAATAAATTTGTTTCTTCTGGGGGGGCGGGCGAACTTCGTTACAAAAATTACGCTGCACCTGGAGACTACTTTCGTGTCTTTAGAATACTGAGCAGTTTAATTAATTCAATTTACGCTATAGATTAAAAAAAAAGAAGGCATAATTGCAGTGGCGCATACGACCTTTTCAAATGCAAACGGTTTTCGGTTTTTGCTTAAAATTTTTATCATCTGCATAAACTGCAGTGTAATTGTTTTCTTTAGAGTTGGCGATTCTCCGCATACTAAAGAGCATGCTAATTTAAACGGCTAAATGTAAAAGACGTTATTAATTTTATTGGTCTTTGTTCCATGAGACACGTACGTTAGTTCACGTGACAAAATCAGCATCCCATCAAATGATTAAATTATATCGATGCATCAAACACGTATGGATGGGCGATGCGATAGGGATCAAGTACAAGATGGCGACGAGTTTTGTTATTTTTAACCAAAAATAATAGGGAGCAGATAATACAAAAAGTTGTTGGGAAAGAATAATAAAACTGTGTATACGCATTCGGTGGAAAGTAATTACACGTCGCGTCGCCCGTTTCGTTTACGGTTTCCGAAATGAATTATAGGAAGCACGAAGTTATAAATAAGGAGGCGGATAAAAGGTATTATTATTACCTATTATTTCATCCGCGTTACGTGTGGAAATCCTAATTGTATATTAAATTCCCTAAAAAAAAAACGAATGCAAATACTAAAACAATTACCGTCAGCGGCAAACTGAAAAAGTTGACAAGATAATAACACGGTCAAATGGTTGCGATAAGTTAAAAAGTGACAACTTGCAGGTTGTGTGTAATAAAATAAGCCGCTATTAAAAACAATTTTCCAGAATACTTAGCAATCCTTTATCTTCCTGCTAGTTTTTATTCAGATGTGGCTCTACCAACATTGCACTTTACTGAATGCATTATTCACAGGAATTGTTTTCTTTCCGGTTCATGTAGTTTATGGCAACATTTTTAAAGTACAATTTGCATTTTGTTATAAAATATGCGAGAAAGGGGATATCGAATTTTTTGACTGCGGCCGCAATACGCTTTGATGGCTCGAACTTTCGAGAATTTATTTCGCAAGCGATAGTACTTCGATACACGAGTACAAATTATAAATGCAAATACCATCACTGAAAACAAGAATAAGCTTTTAGATTCGTACAAGCTTAATTCATTGACGGGGTATAAATTTATACGATTGGTTTAAATTAAACAATCGAAGTAATTATCATCTATATATTATTTCGCGCCCAGTTAAATTTATTTTTACGTATCGGCATATTTGTCAATTGCTATTACTGCGGCGAATAAGACGCCTAGTCTCAACGAATCGTTCAATTATTAAAATTGATAATGGCATCAATCAAGTTTACCATACACTTCCCCCAAAACCCAGTCAATCGTCAAAATTCCAAACCATTTATTTCACAGCTTTATAGCACTAATTAAAAGGAAATGATTCTCCGAGATACTTCCGTGATAACCTCAAATTATCATCGCTCTCTTATTTTTTCCCATTGCTCCACACCGGTACATTACTTGCAGCACATAATTTAGAAAAGCACGCGATTATTTTTATTGCAGCAGCGTCTGTATTAAATTGACACTTCCTTACACGCAATTTTAAATGAAAAAAATGAGCTGCACGTACGAATTGCAACTGTCAGGTCTTAGCAAGTCCGCACACCGCCCCGTTTTCATTTGCGAAACAAACAGCCAAGTTTAATTCTCCCCCTATTCACTTTATAATAACATTTTTGGTATCTGGAAGCAAATGAACAAAACGAGAAAAACAAAAATGGCCATTACGTAATCCAATTTTCAGTACGCTTCCGATGGTTTTACAATCGGAAATCAATAGCCGAAGGGCCTCGCCGAAAGTTTTTAGTGCTTGATATCAATTGAAATACACAGAAGTTATGAGTTAATATTCGGGTAACGATTTTCTTTTCCTCTAAAGTGTAATGAAAATCGAATGGTGTACGTATATGGCCACTTTTAGCTTCCGGTCTAAGTACAGGCTCTATACTTCTATACACAAAAGGTCTATGAGAGATGGAAAATATGTTCCAAACAGAACCCTACGCTGAAGAATTGACCGATCCGGAAATTTGAGCATGATCGTTTTGGAATCATGAATCATCAGGGGATAGTTGCAATTAAATTGATAGGGACCTCCACCCGTCTCATCCCCCAACGATCCCAAGAGACTAAATCTCTCGAAAATTCCTCCGTGTACGAGGCCTAGTATTTCCTTGATATTATCCCGTTGTTCCCGATTTTAAGAAATCCTGGAGATTGCCCAAGTAACTAACACAGAATACGAAATCAACTGTGCTAAGGACAATAAGGATGTCAACATTCATTTTTTAATATCCTCGGTCGGTGTTTGAAAGTCGAACCTCTAGGATTTTCGACATACTTTTGTTTTGTCCGTAAGGATCTCTAAGACCTTCTAGATTATTTTATAGTCTTTAAAGCCTCGAAGATCTTTTATATGATCTTTAAGGGTTTTTAATCAGAGTTCTTCGGGATTTTTCCTCCTCCAAGTACCTCCAAAACCAAGAGCTTTCATCATTTTTAACAAAAAACATAAGAAATGTGCAGGTATACAGAAACACATGATATAATGTCATGTTCGCCACCTGAAATAGGAAATGTAGGAAAAGACCTTTTTACATAGTGAACGACGACGAGCGAATAAACTATGTCGATTTTACCACTCCTTATATCCATATGTGAACAAATATGGAAAATTCCCCCTAGGGCATCCTTCAGCACTTCAGATTGGAAAAGGATGTAAGAACTTAAATTTTGCATACTACCACCACATTTATAGCCTCATCTAGTCCTACTTGTGAAAAAGAAGTTGTACTTTGTCGCACATGGACATGAAACAAGCAAAAATTGACAATGTAATTTTATGATCGTGTGGCAACAGGTATCTATAATGATTGTATGATATCTACGTTACCGAAAGTCCCAAAATAGCCCCCAATAGTTCATTAAGAAATAATCACTAGAAACAAAGGTTTATTGTTTATTATTATTATCTTGAAACTTGGGAATCCTGGAAATGTCATTCGAAACCATCGGTGAAGCTTTTTTGGTTAATTTTATGGAAATTCCTTAGAAGCCTCCTTGTGATAATCCTGTCGAGATCCTCTTGAAACACATTGTGGAGGCGGAGTACGCTTTGTGATCGTTGTCGGTGGTTAAAATAGGGTAAATTAAGCAAGAGGTCGATTACAATGGCGTGACCATATAAATGCGTTTTCGAATTTATCTGTCAACGTTTTAATGCTCATTTCGTGCTCTTACATGTTGTGCTTATCGAACTAGTGTGATTTATAGACTTGTTTGCTCTCAATTTTACCCTTATTTTTAGTAACTTTTCTGGGGAATTTGTTCTAGTGTGGTTGACTATTAATAATTGGGAATGTTTTCGTGATATTCGATTTGAGCTCCTTATAGTTTAGTTTAGTGATTTATCATTAAATTTTTTTTTTGTAAATTCTTTAGTCCCAAAATTAAGATGTTTTGGAAAAATATGTAGAATTTTTAGTGTGACCAACACAATTCGAAGTTTCTTGGTTTTATTTAAGACAGTGAAAAATTTGTTACTTAGTTTAGCATGAACTTGGAATTAGAATAACTCAAAATGAACAAAAATTAGTATTTACCATTAAATACGTAAAAGGATAAAGGGCTTACATAATATACCTTAATATTAGAAACCAATAAAAACTTCTTTTGGCCAAAAAAGTCCCTAGATAATCCTAAATCACTCTAGGATCAAATTCCCTAGAAAAGCTACTAGAATTGAAGGTAAAATAAATGGAAAAAATGTACCTAGAAAAATTACTATACTCTATTCATTTTAAGAAGGTAGCGGTAGAAAGCGTAGGGACAGTTTGACCCTCACTGTGATTGGTTAAAACACGAGTCAGTATTATCCTGAAAAATAGTGAAGAATTCTGTCTGTTAGAAGTTTCAGTTACGAACTAAACTGTCGAACTTAGCGGTAAATTTCAAAGATCCAAGCGTGATATCGTTTGATTTATATTTTTCTAATTTTGTGCCGTTTTATATTGTTTCTGTGTGTGACTATCTTCAAACACAGCGCCATCTACTACCTTCTTATAATGAATGCAGTATAGGTAATATATGGTCAATTCTAAATCACACTAGGACAAACTCCCCAGAAGAGGTCATGTTGGAATTTCGACATGTACTACTCTCATTATATTTATATTCAGCTTAATAGACGCAAGGCCTGATGATGTAATAGGAAATTTCGAAATCGATAACCATTAGAAAACTTTCAATTATAGTAGAGTATACAGGGTGATCGAAGAATAGGCCTGATAAATTCAAAATTTTAGTAAATTTAGGTTTCTGAGAAGGTTCGGTTATTCTATTGTAAAATTAGCGGTCATATGTTTGTTCTGCGTATTTAAAATTTATAGTGCTGTGTTCATAATAGCTTTCGGAAGTCTTAGGTTCCAGCATGACGGAGGTAGCGGAACGTGATGCTATC